ATAATTCAGTGACATTGATTCATGTTATACAATTGATACTTTTCCAAATTCTGCCACCATTAACAAAAACTCGTTCCTAACTCATCTTTGAAGTTGTTGATGATGAATTCCACATAGATGGTTCCTAGAAGAGCAAAATGTTCCAGGTGGTTTCTTCCAGTTAAACCATTGTTTGGTTTCCAGAAGACTTCAAGGGGATATTTTTGGTTTAAAGATTATATCAGGGCAGTACTCTCTGTCCGGTTCAATTTAGAAAATACTAAGGTATCTCACCTGGTAATTGGCAAGGTTTTTATATGCAAAGGGCAAATCCTTTTTTTTTTTTAAATGTGATACCATTTTTGTCCCGTACTTCCACCCACCAGGCTTATTTATTGCCAACTTAGCAGAAAGAACTTGAAAATATCTTTTGGAATTGGTACCTAAGGACAAAATAATAGAAAATGTGGGCCCAGGTATAAAGAGTGACTGGGGGAGTTCTCGTCCTCTCTCCTTTTCCACTCTGTCTTCCCCATGTCCATCCCACCAGTTCCATCTACCGCCCCTCTTCCTTGCCTCCTTATCTTTGCTTCTTTGTGTCTCATGTCATTGATTCTTCTAAGGTGTTAGATCCTTCACAGATGTTATTTGTTTTCTAGGCCAATGTATTATTTGGCTAAAAGTTTATCTCTGGAAAAGGCTTCAGTTCCAGATTAATAGGGTGTCTTGGAATCAGTCTTGTGGGCTTCTCCACTATTAGTAAGCCTTAATAGTAAGGCTAGTCTTATTTATTTATCTATTATTTACAAATTCACACTTTGTACCACAGTTTTCTCCCATTCTAACTTCTGTTGTGTCCCTGGTGAGAGTGAGTTGTTAGTGGTAGTGTGTACCACCTAGTTTTTCCAGTCTCCGCTAGAGGAGGCTGTAATTTGTGGGCTATTCATCTTGACTAATTGCTTCTTTGAGTCTTGGTTCCTTCACTCTCCTTTGCTTTATACAAAAAGTACCAGTATCTTAAGACTGGCAGGTTTTGTGCTATTAGCTGTTGTATAGCCAGGCCATTCGCTCAATCCATTCATGAGAACCCTATGCACAGAATTGGATAACTGTAATCCATAGGGAATTGTGGTGACCTTTGGCTGATTTTAAGATATTAATAGGCCCTTTTTCTTAGAGGCACCACTGAAGCCTGTTCAGCATCTGCAGCTCACAAGCCTTCATTGAATTGTAGTGCATGGGTATCAGGGGGTTAACTTGGCTATATCGGTCAGTAATTGAAATTCGGCCTCCCTCACACATGGAAGGCAAGAATTCTAGTACTGAACAGGGTTATCCTCATAGATTTCACAGGTTTCTATATATTTGGCATCACTAGGTGGCAGTATGGCAGTATGTAAAACTAAGGCTTAACTAGTTATCAGCTGAATTGTAATTGCTGGGAAAGAGGTACTTGAAGGTTTTGTTACATATATAACCGTTTTATTGACATATCTTACATAATCTAAAATATCCATTCACATACAATTCTGTTCAATCCCTTCAAGCGGAGTTCTACAATCATCAGTGCCATCAGCTCCCCATTTCCCCCCCCTCCTCCAGTTTTTTTTTGTTACTGGAGAATGTGTTGGGCTTATTTTGGGGTAAAATAAGTTATGTTGTGTTATTTTTGTTTTGTTTTGAATACACAAGAGAAAAATAGTTTTAGCTTTCTTCCAAAGATGAGACCAAAGAAGCACAACTTGCTTTTCTAAAAATAGTAGACTGCTGTTACTAAAATGTATAGCCTTTAATTAAAACAAAGGAATTAGCTCTTTGGTTGTTCTTAAGGTGAAATGTGTGTGAATCACATTAAAATGATGTGTTATTATTTTTTTCAGTGTCATGAGACTGAAAGGTTTTGCTGTAATGGTGTGTGTACATGCCATGTATCATTTTCTGTTGGCTCCTCCATGAGTCATATTAGTGTTATAGTCTAGTCCAGGGGATATCAACTTTCCTAATGCCAGTCCTAGTCAGTCCTGGCTCCTAGTATTCATCCCTTCAAGAACAAGAACTCCATAGGGGCACCTGGTAGATTTGAACCACCATCCTTACCTTTTTTAAATATATATATATATCATTTTATTGGTTATCTTACAACTCTTATCACAATCCATACA